CTGATTCATAACAGCAAAATTATAGTTAAGTAGTAACCAAAATTTTATGGTTGGGAGTCCCCACAACCTGAGGAACTGCATTAAAGGGTTGCGGCATCAGGAGGTGAGAAACTGCTGTGTACAGGGTTTCTGAGCTGGAACCCTTAGAGAGCAGGCAGCCTCATCGTTCTCCCGCAGAGTGGCTGGTAGCATTGAACCACCAGCCTTGTAGTTAGCAATCTCTCACTTAACCAGAGGCCCTTCTACCCACCTCCCCAAAGTGGCTTTCCTCTGCTGTAGCCTGTATTTCCAGTGTGCCTTCCAAAATTGCCTACACAATTTGGAAAGCAACCCGCCCTCGGTTTGTCCTGGGGGATGAATCTCTCAGGTGGCTCCAAACTGCGTTTTGCGTGTGACCTGTGCCGATGTTTCCATTTCAAACCATCTCTAGCACACCAAATGGATGAGAATGTATCCAGCTCTCATAAGGTCACGTGGCTCGTTTTCCTTTTCTTGAGATTACAAAATAAGTTTGTTTACTCAGACCTCTCCCTGAGATCGATGCCCGAGCTCTCGGCTTTACAGGTAGCAGTGTGTCCTAGGGCAAGGTGGGCTGGGGACTGGCTAGGGTACCTTGCTTTATGGGAGACACCAAATTCCTAGTGCAGCGTGGCCTCGGGGACACTTGAAGGTGAGATGACAGCCAGGCTGCTGTCACTGCGCCTATCACCAAAGGAGCAGCAGCCATTCTAGTTCCTAGCCTCCAGCAGCCTGGGAGAGCCGAGGATTGCCGCACGACACCGAACCACCCATCCTGGCCGTTAGCGAGCTTGTGGCTATACCCCACCTCACTTCCATCACTGCAGTGGGATGGAGCAGACAGAGCTTAATTAAGATAGGTCAAGCATAAATAATTAAGGTGGACTATGCTGTAAGTCCCTTTTCCTCTTCCTTTCAAATACCGTATATACTCGTGTATAAGCCGTTTCCCAGCACATTTTTAATGCAGTTTCTGTGGTAAAATTAGGTGCCTCGGCTGATGTTCGGGTCGGCTTATACTCGAGTATAGACGGTAGGTGGTCTGGTTTTTTCCTTGATGCTGTGTTCGGTACAGGATCCATACCAAAAGCAAGCTCACTGCTACGGAGTCAACTCTGACTCCTAGTGACCCTATAGGACAGGGTAGGAAACTGCCCCTGGGGTTTCCCAGACTAACTGTTTTGCAGGAGCAGGAAGCCTGGGACCTTTCTCACCATGGCCCAGAGGAGTTGTCGCTGGAAATGCAAGAGCGATGCAGATATTTCTGAGGGAGTGGTTTAAGAGGAGGACAGGAAATCCACACTGGAGTAGAAGTTTAAGAATTCTAGTCTTGTTTGAACGAGTTTCAAGTACATCTCGGTCAGAATATCTCATCAAAACATCAACCTTGAAGCCGACAAGGCTTGGTCAAACCCAGTTGGGCCAATGTGAATATCAATGCCCCTCTTTAGGACACGGGGCCTTTGGTGGCTGTGGTTTCCTGCATTTTTCTCTGATGCATCTTAGAAAATGGATTGTAGATGGAGGAGCTGTTGAACTTTTCCTCTCTTGAAAAGTACCCTCCCAATTTTCCCACATGCCTTCCTTAACCACTCGTTGACCCTTCACTTATTTAATAGATCGCATTTGCATGTCCCCCCCCTCCCCCATGCCAGGCACAGCATCGCAGGTGCAGCAACTAGAACAGCAAGCAGAACTGCGTCCTTCCCTTCAGGCAGAGAAAGGTGATGGGCATATATCTAATAGCCATCAAGACAAAAGAATCAGAAGTTAAGAGTGCTGCGATAGAGTAGCTGGTTGCGGCCTGATACAGAATAGGACTGTGGTCCTTGGGGTTTGGATGGGCGGCCAGGGGAGGGGTCGCTTGCCTGGCCTTCTGAGGCACCACTGAGTGAATTTGAACTTCCAACATTTGGAGCCAAGTATATTAACTTTACACCAGCTAAGGGTTGCTGTTTTTTGTTTTGTTTTGTTTTACTGCGACTGAGGAAACGCTACTAAGGTGACACTTGAACAGTGATCTGAAGGACCGGAGGGAGGAAAGAAACCTTGTGGATTTTTAGGGGGAAGCATTCTGAGCAGAAGGAAGAGTCAGGTGAGCAGGTGAAGGAGAGGCAGGGAGGACACACAGAACCAGAGGGGCTTGTGGGCCTGTTTAAGGGCGTGGGCTCTTACCGAATGATGTAGGGAGCCATTGGAGGGATTGAGGAGAGACATAATCAGCCTTGCCTTTGATGAAGACTAGGTAGGGGTGTGGGGACCAGAGGGGAGAATCGGAAGGGAAGTGAGGAGTTGGCTATTGCAGGAAACGGGGCAGTAGTTTCTGGTGGCTTGCCACGGGCCAGTGATGGAGATAAGATGTGTGTTACAGTCATTTTAAAGGTGGAGCTGATGGAATTTGCTCTTGGGTTGCATAGGTTGTTAAAAAACAAACGCAGACTCACTGCCATCAAGTTCATTCACACTCATGGTCATTCTACAGAACAGGGTAGAGCTGTCCTCTGTGAGTATCTGAGACTGTAACTCTTTACAGGAGTAGAAAGCCCTTTCTTTCTCCCTCGGAGCTGGTAGTGGTTTTGAACTGCTGACCTTGCAGTTAGCAGCTCAACCACTATGCCACCAGGGCTCCTGTTGTGACTGTTAGGTGCCATCAAATCTGGCTGGGCACCATTCTCACAATCCTTGCCAAGTTTGAGCCCATTGTTGTAGCCACTTGGACAATCCACATCCTTGAGAGTCTTCCTCCTTTTTACTGACCCTCTACCAAGCACGATGTCCTTCTCCAGGGACTGGTCCCTGCCGATAACGTGTCCAACATCAAGGAGATGAAGTTTCGCCATTCTTGGGGAGGGAGACGGAGCATTCTGGCTGTACTACTTCCAACAAAGATTTGCTGTTTGTTCTGGCTTTCCGTGACCCTTCCAATGTTCTCCAACACCAAAGGCACCGATTCAAACAAATTGCATGTATATCAGGCAATTGAAAATACCATGGCTTTAGTCAGATGTACCTTAATCCTCAGATTGGCCTCTTCGCGCTTTGAGGCTTTGAAGAGGTCTTTTGCGGCAGATTTACCCAATGCAAGACATCATTTGGTTTGTGGTTCTTTGGTTTTTCACTTCTGCTTCATGAGTTTTGACTAGATCCAAGTAAAAAGAAATTCTTAACAACTTCAATACTTTTTCCATTTATCGTGATGTTCCTTTGTGGCCCAGTTGTGAGCAGTTTTGTTTTCTTTCTTTACACTGAGTTGTAATCCATCTCGAAGGCTGTCGTTTTTGATCTTTATCAGTAAGTGTGTCAAGTCTTCTTCGCCTTCAGCAAGCCATGTTGGTTTATTTGTACATCACAGTCTGTTAGGGAGCCTTCCTCCAATCTTGATACTGTATTCTTCGTGTCATCTAGCTTCGTGGATTATTGCTCAGCAGACAGATTGAGTAGGAATGGTGGAAGGAATCGGCCCTGACGTCCCCTTTCTGATTTTAAACCATGCAGCATCCCCTTGTTCTGTCCAAAAGACTGCCTCTTGGTCCGTGCTCTGGGATTCCCATTCCTCACAATGTTATCCATAATTTGTTGTGATCCACAGTTGAATGTCTTTGCATAATCCATAAAGCACAAGCAAACATCTTTCTACTAGTCTCAGCTTTTAGCCAAGATCCGTGTGACAGCAGCAATGATATCCCTGTTCCATGTCCTCTTCTGAATCTAGGTTGGATTTCTATCTAGTCATTTCCTGTTGATATGCTACTGCAACCTCTTTTGAATCATAGTCAACAAAATTCTACTTGCATGTGATTATTAATGCTACTATTCAGTAATCCCCACGTCGTATTACATCACCTTTCTTCAGAAAGGGCAGAAGTAGGGATCTCTTTCAGTCTGACAGATTTATTAGCAGCACTTCAAGCATTGTATCTGTTAGTTGAAACATCTCGATTGGTATTGTTAGTCCCCAGAGTCCGGTTTTTGCCAATGCCTCAGACATCTTTTTTCAATACCATTACCTCTTGATCTTA